AGCTAATGAGATGTGGAAAATCCAAACGTGCTGTTATGGATGTTGATGACTTAAGTTCTAATGAGGTAGAGCTGCTTAGAGGGGACAAGAGGCCATCCAAATACCGGTGCATTTCAAACAAACTTGGAATTAATTTTTGACAATGCTGTAACACTGGATTACTAGCTTTGCTTTCACTTGTGAAATTTTTAAATTAATATCTGACTGTGAGGTCTTGTGTCCAAATGTAATGGCAAATCACTGTGTTTAATAAATAAAGAAACAGTGGGGCCCAAGGGTATGAAAACGCTTGTCAAACTAGACGTAATTCGGTGAGAGGATAAAGTACAACCTAGCAAAGTCTCGTATGTCTGGCAACTAATCTCACTCTCTACACCATTATGGTATAAACATGTATATTGAAGGCAAAAATATTTAGTAATTCTACGTAACAAAAAATGCAAAAGCAAAGACAAATAGGTGAACGTGTTTTCTGTGTTACCAGCCCTGCTCCTTCCTTGTGGTTGTACTGTGAGCTAAAACGTGTTGTGTTTTAAGGATTTTGCGAAGGACTGTGGAATCTGCTATGCCTATCGACTCGATGGCGCTACTCCGGATCAAGTGTGCGATGATCCCCGATGCGGACAGCCTTTTCATCAGGCTTGCCTGTATGAGGTAAAGGAATTAATGGGACAAACTTGCTCATTAACTCACAGATTCTAGAAAATAAGCATTGCCCGCTTAAATTTCAGATGAAGCAAAGTCCTTTAAGGAGTGCTACAACAGGCGCTGTGCTTCCTCTTGCCTTCTAGCCCGCAGCTGATAGAGAAGCTCCCTGTGGAAGGGAACCTGCCTCGCTCTGTGGTTATGCAGAGTCTGACTTGACACGCACCGTGTCAGATGTCGATCAAATGAACTCTGGTTGGGAAAAGCCCTGGTAATAGATCGTTCTTAAATGTGAGAGGAAACAAATGCAAATTTTAATCCACTTACTTGTGTTGCAGTGGCTACAAGGTCTTCCTTCTAGCAGACAGAGTTTTCATGTCATCTTTGGTGAATGTCCATATTGTAATAAGGTAAGGAAAGCTAATGAAAACGAGTGCTTCAACTACATAGTGTGTAGTAGCTTAGATAAAGGCAAAAACTGCAACAAAGTCAAGTTGTAAAATAGAATTTGTGGCTACTATCTTCCCTTTACACATTGGACTGAAGAGAGGAAAACGTTCAGATCCCGTGCATTTAATCCATCAGTATTTAACCAAAGGTTTTCTGAAAGAGTATAAAGATGGCTACGCACCAGTTATCAACATACTAGCGTTAGAATAATTAAATACCACGCCACACTGTGTTTCATGATACTTTTTTATGTTGCTGTAGCAAAGGTCCAGTTTCAAAAACCAAAAAAAAAAAGCATCCCAACATTTGTAACACAAACCAGCCTTGTACAAATAGTTTAGTGCATACGTAACTATTGAGCGCAGCTTTGGAAAGCTTAAGTGAACGTGCCTTTAAAAGATATGTATTGACAATATTATTTAAAAAAATCTTTTCCAAGCCACTGACACTGAAATCTTCAATGAAGAAACTTTGAGAAAAAAACGCGTGATGGGAACACCGCTGCACTTACACTGAGGACGCTGAAGCATAGAATCATAGAATCATAGAATCATTAAGGTTGGAAGAGACCTCCAAGATCGAGTCCAACCATCAACCCAACAACACCATGCCCACTAAACCATGTCCCTAAGCGCCTCATCTACCCGTTTACGTTTCGTCAGTAAACGCAAACCTAAATACAGTAGATAGAGAAGGACGAGTGATGTCAGCACCAGTTTCTTGCAATGAGACTGGATGATCTCTAGTTAAGAGTCGATCGTGCGTCTTTCTGGATTCGGAGAACATCGCTTGGAGGTCGAATGGTGGTAATTCTCTTGCAGTGTCTTTCTGCAGGGGAAAAAAAAAGTTATAATAAACTTAATATTAAGTGAGATGTGAATCAGAAAAACAAAGATGCCAGCGAGGTATTTAAGTTATCCTAGAGAAAGCAATACAATTCTTACATAGTCTTAACTCTGGAATTTGCAGGTGTAAGTATATTGGATATGAAGTCTGTAACACTAGGTACGATTAAACACCTTCTAAAGAGACATACTCTATATTTATTACTGAAATCAACAGCTGGAATTCTTCCATATCTTTAACTTGTTTCCAAAAAAATGTTAATACGTTAAGTCTTTACCGTGTTCCTGCTACTAGTTTGAGCCTGGAAACCCTAGACGTTACGCAGACGTTTCATTTGCCGTATTAATTTGTTTTAAGTTTTTTGCATTTCCTAGTGAAGCTAAAGTTCTCCTGATTTATCATAGATAGCATAAATATGCTAGTAGTGTGGGGTTTGTTCTAGTTGGTGAGGGTGGTGTTTTGGGGGGGGAGGGTTAGGCCTCCCGAAGCAATGCCACCCTTAGCTTGCCTTTTTGATCTCCATCGCTGAAAGGAATTCCCAAACACTGTGATTCCATTTCTCACATAGCTAAGACTAGACTGTATTTTCCACCGTCCCTTAGAAAAATTTCCACCTTTGGTTTCCTTTCCATAGTCCCATTCACAATATGTTATTTTTTAGCAATACATCCCACTTAATTTCAACCCTAGCAATATAGTTTTCTCGGTGAAAATTCATAACCTAAATTGTGTTTCTCTAATAGAAACTTCCTGTCTTCCTGTTTTATTCCTCCTTCGAATTAGTGACAGACATGCCTGTTTCTTTTCTTTCGTCTAATAGAAAGATGCTATTACGTCCAACAAAAAGGCAGCCGATAGGGTTTTTCTTCTCTGCTTTTTGTTGTTTCCGTATTATTTTCTAGATGTTACCTCCTCATTCTCTCTTTCACAGTTTGTCAGCTGTCCCGTTTCTCACAAGCGTCCCACCCTTCTTGTCCTACTCCTCTCAGTCAGGTGTTCCCCTTTCAGCACAGAAATGCTTCTCGGTTTCATTTGTACGTAAACTGTAACTGCGTTCCAGCACCATCTTACGAAGCAGACCCGCTCGTTCCTTCATTGTCCCAGCTACGTATGCGATGTTTTTCTGAATGTACTTCCCCAAACGATAAACAAGGGAGAAAGAGAACTTTCCCTCCAAGTTCTGTATTCAGACCTTCAACCGCATCGTCTATTAACGGCAACAGGGTGGCCATCCCGTCTAAGTGTCTAAGTTAGAGCGAGGTGCCTGCACTGCAGTTTACTACTCCAGGCAGTTGCCTAACCAAAGTGTTTGGAATTGCTCTCTGGAGAATGCTCGAGAGCCTCTCGCCACTCTAGTTCCTGCATGAACCACTGTTTCTTTTCCCCCTTTGTGCCTGAAGAATCCTCCTGAATTTTCGTAACCTCAGTACTCTAAAATTTCCTGTATAGCCTTCCTTTCCCAATCTCCTGAATTATGTGAAAGGAATTAAGAGGAAGTCTGCAAAATGAAACTAATACGATCCTGCCTTTTTTTCCATCTCCAGTTTCTCATTTGAATATCTTAAATGTTATCTGACATCCATTTTAGCTCTCCCCTATTATGCATAACATTCAGTGAGTACCACAGAACTATTCTACGTAGATGCAGAGTTATTAATCACATTGGAACAGCGGCTTTTCCTTTAAAAAGACAAAATCAAAACACAAGTGTATCTAAATACTAGACCAGTGACTAGTCCCATTTCTGTAAAAATGTACTTTTCCTTCCTCCCACAAAAAGGAGGGAAACACAAATCCCCGAGGCCCTCTCCAGCGTCAGCATCTACAATCCATACCGTGGTGCTTGCTGTTCAAGTCAACAGGGGAAGTTACACCAGCTCTTTTTTTCCCCCCTGTGTCGTGTTGGAACCTAAATGTGGCGCTCTTTCCGTACCTACTTCTTTCTTAGGACTACAGTAGCTTTTATACAAAACATACAGGAGGGAGGAGATTTGCTAATGCTTTTTAAATTTTACGTTTGAGGACTAGGAAGTAGTGCTGGAATATCTTCATCTCACACGATTGTATTTCTTACTTTGAGTCACTGTTGTGTCAGGACTCCAGAGACGTTTCAGAATCTGCCTGCCTCGCTATCAGCCAAAACATCTCCAAAAACTGTTCTGCTCACCACTTTACTGCCTGGTGCTCTTAGGTACAGCTGTGCTTTTTCCACTTCACTTTCCGAACTTGTACCGGAGGCTCCAGGCAGTGATCAGCAGACTGCTTGAAGCAAAGAATTTTGGATTAATAATAAAGCTATCTTTAAAGTTGTATTTTTGTGCTTATTAGAAATTGTCCTCGTTTAACAAGTTATTCCTCTACATGAAAGAAACAAACGGGGTAGAATCTCTTTGTTAAAATATATTTAAACTCCATAGAAAAGGAGCACGGTATGATTACTAAGATGTACTTTATTCTGCATTATTTTTACTAAAACCTTGATAAATTTTTTTCATCAATTTCTTCACGTACAGTTGAAGAGTAAGACCGACTACATTCATTCAACCCTTTTATGCAGTAATTACTGACAATATTTGAGGTGAGTTAGTTAACTACTAAAATCCTCAGATTAAGAAGTCAGAATTTAAGAACTTAATTAAGAGTGCGATGAGGTTTTCCACTATGTAGAAAAGGAAACTACTGAAGTAAGTTTCTACCAAGAAAACAACAGGGTCCACAGCCGGACACTGTCATTTCCCGACACTTTTCTGCACACGGGTGCAGCACTCCATGCGCCGCTTTACTACCAACTACAGAAAAAACTGGAGTGGTAGTTTGCTAATAGTATGACCAGGCAACTGTACACAAACTTTTAGTGTTTGTGGCAAACGTTTAGTTTAGGCTTTCTTTGTGGGGTGTGGGTGGTTTGGGGTTTTTTTTAAACTCTTATTTTTAGAAAAGCCGATCTTTCTTTTGCAGGGTGCCATGACTGTTCTGAGGTAACACCAAAACCCTCACCTTTTGTGGGTGGTCAGGCTCCTGAATCGTAGTGTAAAATTTAATTGGCCTCTCTTCTGCGTGGAATTGCTGGCGTGTTACCCGAGCATGGGGCCTGCTTAGGCCGTTACAGTCTTCCTCTTTCACCTTGTTTTGCTTCTGTTGCACTGGTTTCGGTGAAGGCTTCAGTAAGCGAACCTGTGGATGTACAGATAGTAATTCTGTGTGCTGAAAAGAGTTCGGTAACATTCAAAACTATCACAGGTGCCGTTCCGATACCTGGACCTGTCAGGTTTGAGACAGGTGAGGATAGTGCCCTGGTTGCATTTACTCCCTGGGCTTACAAGAAACTCTTTAGTTTTACGTTTGGAATAATACAAGCCAGTAAGCATATGGCAACTTCTGGAGTTTATGACATAGCTCCTGGCTTTTTTCAAGCGCTTTTCTTCCTTTCCCACCCCAAAGGGTGGACATTGAGCTAACAGAGCACGTGAACTCCCAGGAGATTACTTCTAATTTTCTAGTGCCCAAATCCTCACCTGCTGAGGCTCTGTTTGGTGAAGCATCCCGTTTAATTTACTTTGCTTTTCTTCATCTTGGAGTTGTTTGCCTGTTACCCCAGTACAGGCTTTGTTTTGACAGATGCGTTCTTCACCTTCCATCTTTTTGTGGTTCTGCTGAACTCGTTTTGGCATAGGCTTTGGTGCGCAGACCTGTTGATGTACAGTGAAGAATTTTGTATAGTAAAAAAAAAAGAGTCAGTATTTCAAAGAGAAAAATGTTCTATCTTCAGTACCGAGAACACAGAATGAGAGTAAGCTTTCATCCTTCTCAAAAGAATTGTTTCCAGCATTTTAATTATCAATAAACGCCTTCTTCAAACAGTACAAAGTTAGAGCTATGCTGTATTTGGGAAGTATGCTATAAAATAAACTCGAGTTGTACATTTCAAAACGTTCACTAATAACCTTTATTGGGAACGATGCCAGTAAGTCACTGTTTGTTTCATTAACAAGTAGAGCCGAATGCCTTTCACATCACGGGACCGAGTCAAACGCAAAACTTTCGAAAGTACGATAATCAGCAAGTCTTCTGACTCGGGTAATCTAATTTAAGAGCTAAGGCTTTCATTCTTCGACAGTCTTCTAAAATGTAAATGGGGAATACACAGTGAATAGTTGCATGAGTTAATGCAAGTTTTTGCCAGTGCTGCTCTAAGCACTAAGTATCAAATGATGTCTGGTTTTGGCTTTTGTAACTTGGAAGACAAATGTAGCCAAAACACAGGCTGTATGCCACATGCCTTTGGTACTTCTGGCACGCTAATAACTCTGTAACTGTAATGTTTGCATATGGGCCTCTACGCAGCAGCTGTATCTGAATATAGCAGCTAAAAAAGAAGGAAGGGGCTGCTTTTTTGTGCTGCAAATTAAACACGTACAGGAGATAGAAATTGCCCAAGCTAAATAGCGTTTAAAGTGCCAGTAGGCACTTCACATACTGTTTAATCCAAAATACCTTTTAAGAATATAATCCATAGTTCTGCTCTGTGAAAATTGTTAACGTACAGAAACATAAAGGTGTGTCTGTTCTGAACAATAACTGCCGCTAGTTTCAAACAGCCTACCTCAGGACAAAACACTGTAGATAGCCCCGAGAAACGGAGCGACGCAGGTGAAGCTCAGTGCCACGCTACAAT